CTACACCCGCCACCACTGCGCCCTCTGCCATCTGACTGCACCCGCCACCACTGCGCCCTCTGCCCTGTGACTACACCCGCCACCACTGCGCCCTCTGCCATCTGACTACACCCGCCACCACTGCGCCCTCTGCCATCTGACTACACCCGTCACCACTGCTCCCTCTGCCATCTGACTACACCCGCCACCACTGCTCCCTCTGCCATCTGACTACACCCGCCACCACTGGCCTCTTCTTCCTTGCTTTGTGTATACTTTTTGTTTTTGTTTGAGAAAGAATCACACTCTACAGTCTGGGCTGGTCTCAAATTCACTACGTAACCCAGGCTGACCTCAAACTAGTGACCCCTCAGCCCCTGCCACTCGAACACTGGGATGACAAGTGTGTACTACAAGGCCAAGCTCTTGTTTATATATATATATATATATTTCTTTTGTTGGTTGTGGGGCTTGAACTCTGGGCTGGGAACTGTAGAGCCTGAGCTCTTCAGCTCAAGGTTTGTGCTTTACCACTTGAGCCACAGCACCACTTCCTGTTTTCTGAGTGGTTAATTGGACATAAGAGTCTCACGGACTTTCCTGCCTGGGCTGCCTTTGAACCAAGATCCTCAGATCTCAGCCTCCTGAGTAGCTGGGATTACAGGTGTGAGCCACCAGTGCCTGGCTTTGTTTGTATTCTTGCCAGCAGGTCACAAGAAGGAATGCAAGGTAAGACTTTTTAAATTCAATAAACATGCCCCTCAGTAGATGAATGGATCAAGAAAATGTGGTATATATGCACAATGGAATTCTATGCCTCCATCAGAAAGAATGACATTGCCCCATTTGTTAGGAAATAGAAAGACTTGGAAAAATATTAAGTAAAGTAAGCCAGGCCTCAACGAAACATAGGTCCCATGGTTTCCCTTATTTGCAATAACTAGTATATGTCTGAGACAAGCAGAATTGCTCAGATAAGTTGATGTTAGGTGAACCCTAAGATAAGGAATCAAATGTTTTTTCTTTCTTGCTATTGTTTCTAACATATTTATAGTTCCTTGTTGCTTTGTATGTCCCTCCTCCACGGTATAACCTGTTTTCACTGTATTTTGATGGTGATATAATTTGTGGAGGGGAAGGTGGACCCAATGAACAATGAGATGTACAAGACATTATGTTGAAAAATGAACTTTACAACTTTGGTGGGGGAGAAGGGGGCCAGTGGCTGGCGGGGGGGGGGGGGGGGGGGGAGGAGGGAGGAGAGATGGGAAGGGATGGGAAGGGGAAACAAAGGAGGAGGCAACAATGCTTGATAAGAAATGCACTCAATACCTTGCCCATGTAATTGTAACCCCTCTCTACAGTATTTTCACAATAAAAAGAAAGACTTTTTAATTCATACCGGGATGTTCTTCAGTGGCAGGCTTGTCTTCAGAATCTTGTGTGACTTTCTCTGAAGGTGTGGATTCCCTTGTCTTTGTATTTGGCTCTGGCTCCAGCTTTGACCTAAAAATAAATAACCGTCATCCAATTTCCTTATAAAATAGGCTTCTTTTCTGACAACACAGGGAGTCATGAGTGAGCCCTGCACTTCAGCTTGTATTCCTTTACTGGGGAGTGCAGCGGCCAACTGGACACAGGTCCAGGGGCGCCCCGTGCAGGGTGCGAGTGCCGCCGCCGGCAGGTACTGAGCCCTCCTCAGAGGAGGACGCCACACTCAACATGCAGGCAATGAAGGCTGTCTGCCCACCTTGCACTAATCCAGGAGTGGACACATACCTATTCTGTAGTGAGTTTTACATTAATGCAAGAAGTTCTGCCATATGTATGTGCACACACATATACACACAAGCACACAGGTGCATGTAATACTTCACAGCATTTGAACTGAAAGTGCAAGTCTTTAGTGGACACTTAGCACACTGCCTTTAGGAGCCCAGGAACTGCACCCGTTTGTTCCCTCTTCCAGTTCCCAGCTGGAGGCTGATCTGCCTGGCTTGCTTGGCAGCAGCACCTTCTGTATGGACAGGCCTGTGCCTCACTGAGTGCAGTCTGCTGTGTGGCCTGGATCCTGGACTGGTGCCTGGCACTCAGTGTCTGTCAGGGTAGGATAAGGGTCTCCCAAGGGCCACGTGTTAAAGGCTTGGGGGGTGGAGCCTTCAAGAGGAGGTGGAGCCTAGTGGAAGGGCCTTAGATCACTTGGAACACTCCCGGGAAGGGGACTGTGACATCCGGTCACATCCTTTTCCTTGTTTCCCTGCTGCAGTGAAAACCGGCCTCCTCCATCATGATATATTGCATCACTAAAGCAACGGGGCCAGAAGCAAGAAGCCATTCCTCCCTTTAAGTCAATCATCTCAGGCATTTTGTCACAGTAATGGAAAGCTGCCTAACCCAGTGACTGACTCTACATCCTCTATTATTTGTTGTTTTAAATTTAGCCATTTACTCAGTCTGAAAGTATTCTGTTCATAACTTTTAAGAGACAATCACTCACAGAGACGTTTAGAGAGTAATCTGCTAGTCAGATGCCCCTTAATCTATATTTAATACATCTCTCCTAAGAAAGGATTCTCGGGCATACCTAGAGTATAACTACCCAAACAAGGAAATACTCATTAGTAGTGAGATTCCATCCTTACCAGAGACCCTTTTCTAGCCCGAACAGTTATCTCAAAACACACCCTTTGTAACAAAAAGGTCCAGATCCGCGTCACACACGGCGTCAAGCTGCTGTCTGGAGCACTTGCTTCACTCTCTCCTTGAGTTTCGTGACCTCAGGGCACAGTGATGTGCCAGCCATTCTGTGGTTGCATTCAGGCTGTGCATGGGGCAGACATTACGAGAGGCCTTCCTGGGCCATCCTGTCAGGTGAGTGCCGTCTCATCTTGCCCATCTGACTAAGGAGGCAGTGGCCGGTGTCCTGGCTGGGAGGTTACCCTGTTCACCTTTGCAAGTAGCAAGTACGTGTGTGTGTGTGTGTGTGTGTGTGTGTGTGCGCGCGCGTGCATGTAGCGTGCACGCTGCAGCATTTGTGACTATGTCGAATGCTTTTTTTTCCCATTTATTCTTATCCAGATAGAGACTTCATGTGACAGGTTACAATCAGCTACTACCATTTAATTTTTACTCTAATTTGGCCAGCATTCACCCCCTCTATACTGGCTGCTGTGTCCTTTCCACCTGGTCTTCTATCTTCTGACCCCTTCTCTTGCTCCTTGGAGTTGCCATTTCTGAAGAAGCCTGGATCTTGGAGCTTTGGGCTACCACTTTTTCCAAGTAAGCAGAAATGCATGCACATGATTTGTAGGGATACCTAACACTGCCATCAGAACAGCAAACTGATTTTTCCATGACCCATAGAAACATAAGATGACTGAGGATCTCCCATTCACACCTCCCTCCTCCCTGCCCCACGTGACAGGAAATGCCCCTCCTCTCTGACCACCTGCTCTCCTGACACACCACCCTGGGAACGCCAGGCCCTACGCTGCACACTGGCTTCAGGTCGGAGTGGCTCAGGGAGGGGAGGGCTTAACTGACTTCTCTTCACAACCGCCATCTGTGTCTAGAATACACCAACGTACCCATTTCCAATTTAAAATGAAGGCTGCAAAGCAGCAGAACAAGACAAAAGTTGGGCATTTTTAAAGTAATAAAACCAGATTCTAATTATAGACAGAATGTCTACTGAAAGCCTTGGGGAAATTACAAATGAGCTACTTGAAGGCAATTTGGGGGGAAAAAGCAATAAAAAAGTCATCAGAAAGGCTTGTTTATGCTCCATGATTTATTTAAATGGATTTTTCTACCTGAAGGCTGAGAGCTTCATAAATGAAATCAACACAATTCCCACCTGCCAACATCTCTTTCCAGGTCTCTTACTTGAAAAACCTCTATTTAAAAATTAAAAATAACAAAAATAAAAAGGATTCCTTTTTTGCTTTGAAACAAAATACATAGGACAACCTCTTTGCCACCCCATACAGATAGTAGCTCTAAGTACTGCAGCTCTAAGTACTGCCCTTATGTTTGTTTTATGACACCCCCCTCCCCCCACCACACCAGAGGCAGGAAGGAGACATTTCTGTACACGACTCTGTGGGGGGTGGACTGAGGAAAAGGTACCCACAGGGGTGGACACTGCCCCCCACAGAGGAGAGGCTGCTCAGCATCTAGACCAAGCCATCTTCAGAGCCACTAGCCACTCACTAACTGGGCATCTACCAAGCAAGTGCTGCTGAAACTGTTGAAGGCTCAGGAGAAGGAAGATCTCTTTCAAACAAAGAGCCATGCACAGGGTGCAGCAGAGTGGCCATCGCTGGGGACAGACTGAGAAACAATGGTCATTGTGGGGACATTCCAGCGTGAATGCCTGCTCCGCTCAGCCGTGGCAATGTGGACGTGAGGAGCACGGCAGCTCCGAGGCTGGGCGACATCGTGAAGGGTTAGTTATTCCCGTAAGACCTCTGTCCAAAGTAACTGGCACAGGTGGGAGGAGATGCTTTACTTCACTGTCTAAACGAGAACAGTTCCCACCTGACACTGTAACTTGTATCGTATAGAAACTTCTGCAAGAACCAGGACCACAAAGGTCCGTTCCTCCTTAACTTGGGACACCTGCTTCCCGGGCCGTCGGGTGTGGGGCCCAGAGGCCAGCTTACCATCTCAACAACAGTTCACACCTCTAGTCCATCCTGCTTCCCAGGACCTGTGTTGGCAGACTCCGGTCACTGCACCTGGGCCCTTCTGCTCCCCCTCCTCCCCACCTGGCCTGCCCTCTCCCTCCTCCCTTCTCCCCCACCTCCCCACCTGGCCTGTCCTCTCCCTCCTCCCCTCCTTCCCACCTGGCCTGCCCTCTCCCTCCTCCCCCTCCTCCCCACCTGGCTTGCCCTCTCCCTCCTCCTCTGGTAGTTTCAACAACTTACACAAATGGAGCTGCTTGAGAAATCTGTCATTACCTTGAGGTTAACCTTTGTTTAGCCTTGATGCTAGGCAGCCGATCCAAATTTGCTGACTCCAATTTCCTTGTATTAGCAATATCCATAAAGAAGTCACAAGGATTACATGAAATAAATTAGCATAGTGCCTGGCACATGTCAGTGCTTTATGGTAGGTAATAATTTCAAGCTACCATTTTATCCTCACAACCACCTTGCAAGATAGATTCTATTCATGTTCCCATGCTACAGGCAAGGAAACTAAGGCACAGGGAAAGTAGGCTTCCTTCAAAGCCTTGTGGCTGACAGAGCCGGAATTCAAACAGCGCAGTCCAAATGCAGCTCGGATCCCCACACACTGCCGCGCCTCTTGGCTGTGCCCTTTCTCTCTCTGAACCAACACAGACCTCGCTAGTTCTGACGCTTCCTGATTAAGATGCTCCCTTTTCCTGAGCACACAGCACACCAACCAGCCTCTACCCTCCCTGAGGGCAGACTTTACCTACTGCTTCTTCCAACTACCCTACTTTATATTAGAATACACTATTTATACGATTCAATAGTGTTATATAACAACATTGTAATGAATGTTATAGCAACTGGCTTATGTAATAACTGTCTGGCTTATGTGATAACTATATGCCAGAAGATAACATGGCTACCTCCTTGCTCACTTCCACGGCCACTTCTCTGGGCTGGCCTTTTTCTAATTCATTGGCAAGTATTTAGAAAAGAGCTCCCATGTCAAGCCTCAGACCACTTACAAGGGCCCACGTGCCAGGTTGAGAACTTGGACTTGGTATGTTCATCCCATCCTAGCTGGAAGAGTGCTGCCCGTGGCTAAATGGTGTGCAAACCATGTGGTCTGAATGTGGTTCAGTGTCGGGTTCTGGAATGCCGGTGTGTGCCAACCACGAGGAGTCTATGTAGCCAGCCCCCAATGAGATCCTCAGTCACTAACGAGCTGCCCTGGTGCGCAACACCCCCACCCCTGAGGGTTGAGGCCCCAGCCTGGCCCCTACTCTCCTCTGGTCTTCGCATAGACCTTCCCCTCTGCTGTCCTGCTTTGGGTTCTTTCAGTGTGAAAAGCCACTGCCAGGAGCAGAGCTGCATGCCCAGTCCTGTAAGTCTTCCTAGTGAATCAATGAACCAGAGAGTTGTGCAATAGGCCCCTGACACAGTTTTAAAAAATCGACCCCAAACATTAGATAATAAAAGAGCCTTGCCAACGAATCCCAAACCTGTCTGGAAATGATGGAGAGCCTGGTGCAGGCGCCACACACACCAGCAGCCAGGCGGATGAGCTGCAGCTCCCGATACCTGCATGCGGCCCCCAGTAAAGAGGGACAGAGGTAGACAGGTGCGGTAGGAATGCACGCCGGCGCCTGGCGCTGCTGCTTCCAGGCCCAGGCACGCAGAGGACGCTCCCAACAACAATGCCTACACAAAAATGTCTGGAGGAAGGTGCAAGCTCTGCTATGTAGCCAGCGACAGAGGAAGCCTCACAGCGGGCACTGGGTCACCAAACCAAGCTCAGCCCTCAGGAAAATCCTTTCAGGGATAGCAAGGGGGGGGTGGGGGGCAAGGCTGAGGCAAAATGCCTGGTAATGCCACAGATAGACAGACAGACAGACAGATCGATCGATAGACAGACAGACAGACAGACAGACAGACAGACAGATAGATAGATGGATCGATCAACAGCATCACTGAGAGACAGGCCAGCCTGGACTCCAGCCCAGCCTACTCATCCAGGCTGGGTGGCTTTGGTGACATACCAAACTTGCCAAGCCTCAGCTGAGCTCGTGTGTGACAGAAGGCCAGTACCTGCCTCATGAGTTAAGAGTACAGCTCCTGGCACACAGCATGTGCTCAGTAAGCACTAGCGAGGGCATTTTGCAAAGAAATCCACGCAGGGTCTGGGCACCAGGCAAGTGCCCCGGGAACCTGAGCCGCCCTCACGGGGGAGCCCTGGAGAGCAGGCACACTTACAGCCTCTTCTTATCCACCACTCGCTTCACTCGGATGGCTCTCTGTTCTGAGTAAAGCTTGCACACTCCTGTGGGAGAAATGCCAGAATAGAGACCATTTTAAAATGGTCATTACATCTAACAAGACGCTAGTCTTCAGCTATAAAGTTAGGTTCTGAGTCGCACAGCCACATTTGACATTTAAGGGAACATGAAATACTTTTTAAGTAGTCTTCAGTGAAGTCCAGCACGGCGGCCCGGTGCTCCTTGGCTTGCTGGGAATGGGTCTCCTTGTGGGCTGCAGGGGAGGACAAGACATAGCGTCGCGGTCACTCGCTCTCAAGGACAGCTCGCTCATCAGCCGCCTTACAGCAGTGGCTTTAGAGCAAGGATTTTAAAAACACAGCAATAAAACAAGTCTTGTGTCACACAAAACTGCACTTTTAAGAGTAAGATTTATTAGGCTTTACCAGCATGAAAGATTAAACCAAAGGAAACTGTAGTCCAATAATTTATGGTTTATTATAGCACTTAGGGAGTGTTCTGTGGTGCAGCCCCTTCTTGAGTGGGGACCCTGGCTGTATTAATGGAATCCATGCCCACACTGACCTTCCAGTAACAAGCTTAAATCAATCTGAACTGCACACTTCCCCTGCCCATGCCTGGAGTGTCCCTGCCCCTCCCTGTGGCCACTCACATCCCAGGCTCCTAAGACACTGAGTCAAGCTCAGTGTCCCTCTAAAGAGCTTTCCATGACACCAGCCTACAGAAGGATGGTTAAAAAACAAAACAAGACAAAGTCTTGTCAGAGCTGGACACCGGGGGCTCACGCCTCTAATCCTAGCTATGCAGGAGGCTGAGATCTGATGATCAAGGTTTGAAGCCAGCTCTGGAAGAAAAGTCTGTGAGATTCTCATCTCCAATTGGCCAGCAAAAAGCCAGAAGTAGAGGGGTGGCTCAAGTGGTAGAGTGCCAGCTTTGCACAGAAAAAGTGAAGGGACAGTGCCCAGGCCCTGAGTTCAACCCCAGCACTGGTACAAAAAATGAACAAAATATGAATTAATAAAAAGATTTGGTCAGGAAGTGAATCTGTGGCTTAAGTGGTAGAGCACTAAATGAGCAAAAGAAGCTCAGGGACAATGCCTAGGTCCTGATCTCAAGCCCAAGGACTGGCACCACATATACAAAAGGCTTGTCAGTCCCAAAGTCTTTCCCTTTTACTTTTGGTAAGAAAGCTACCAAATTTCTTTTTGGTTGGCATTTAGGTGTGAAGTCAGGGCCTTATGCTTGCTAAGCAGGCTTTCTGCTACTTGAGCCATGTCCCCAGAGCATCTGGAGATTTTGACCTCTGTAGTATCCTATAGACTCTATCTGTCCAGGTGTATTAGAGAAACACCAAGGGAGAGTCTGGACATGGGAGGCCGGACTAGGGCATTAATGAGAACTGAATGAAAGGGAGACAGCCTCCTAGTGCTAGGCACTGGCATGCTAAAGAACTTAACTAAATTCTCATAACAACCTTAACAGATCTGATCATTATCTGACATGGATAGGATGCAATATCAAATAGTTATTAAATTAACAGGCTGAATTGACACTATTTACAGGTAAGAAATATTGGCCCACATACTATTCATTTTCTTTTTTCTTTTTGGTCGGTCGTGGGGCTTGAACTCTGGGCTTGGGCGCTGTCCCTGCACTATTCAGCTCAAGGTAAGCGCACTACTGCTTGAGCCACAGCACCATTTCCAGTTTTCTAGTTGTTTATTGGAGATAAGAGTCTCATGGACTTTCCTGCCCGGGCTGGCTTTGAACTGTGATCCTCAGACCTCAGCCTCCTGAGTAGCTAGGATTACAGGCGTGAGCCACTGGCCTGGCTATACTATTCATTTTCTGACTGAGGTCTCTTGGTATATTTCCAGTTCTGTTTGGAGAGGTCCTTTCTATCTCCCTCCTCCCATTTGTTTAACCTGAATGACAATCTATTCATGACTTTGAAGGGAAGATTTAGGGTTTTAAACTCTGGATCTCAACAAGGAGGAAGGAGTGAATTGTGTTTGGACATACACATCTTGTTTAACTCTCCATACTCATGGTGTGTGCTTGCCCCTCTCAGAGCAACTCACCTTCTGTGCGGAGTTGCTGGATTGCTTCCGAGCAGGTCCTCATGAATATCTGCGCATCCTGGTCTATCTGGTCACGCTCTGTGTCTGTCATCCTCCCATAATCAGACATGATATGGCTGAAGAAGAGACAGGAAGGAAATGAAAGGGCAGCCGTGAGGGACCACATAACCGAGGTGGCTCCCTGATCAAGTTCCATGTAAGCTGAGACTTGAAGGAGGAACCGGCCAAACTCACAGAGGGAGAATGGTCTAGAGAGCTGTGTGGGAAGATGTGAAAAGCCAGTTCCCTGGGCTGGAGCTGCAGCCCTGTAAGGTTTGGGGCTCCAACCTGCAGTCACAGGGAATCCTAAGGCTGCTTGCTGGATAGACTGTCAGGAGCAATCCATCCAGGTGTTGTTTGGAGATGGTGTGGGACAGGACTTGGGGGTCTTGACATAACATGTGAGAAAGTGGTTTGGGTGGTTGGTTTTCCATGACAACTAGCCATCTTTACCACTCTCTCACACACAAAAGTCCTTGGAAGCAAATTTATTTTCTCTGATATGAAGTAAAACTATCCTACAATCACCAGGCTGGTGAAAGTGTTTACTTTCAGTAATTCAGGACCCTGGAGGCCCTGGTCCCCACCAGAATTCCAAGATCCTTAAAATGAATTCAGAGACTGGCACGTAGGACCTCTGGGTTCCTCTGTGCCTTTCTCACCCCTCGGCTACAACTAACACATCTGCCACTCACGCCATCTTACCACCTTTCCCCTTGTGCTTGTCTCTTCCTCCTGGCATGTTCTTTCCTCAGACAGCTGTATGCATATGTGGATATCTTACGTCTTTTAGGTGTTTATCCATGGTTACCCCCTCTTCATGAAGGCCCTCATAACCACCTTGTGAAATCATGCCATCCCAGCCTTTCCCTCCCTGAAAGGCAGTAAAACCTGATGCCTTGCTTTGCTTTTTGTCTGTGCCCTGTATGAGGCACAGCACCACCAAGGCAAGGAAGGACTTCTATGCTTTCTCTCTGCTAAACTCAGTGGGCGAGAGTGATGCCTTGCATTTAGCAAGCTGATAAATCAACAGTGAAGTATTTTCTGAATGAACGGAATCCATGAGTAAGCCTGAACTGCAGAATGTGAGTTGACATAGCTACAACTATGTTTTCAGTAATTTCCTCCTGAATGGACTTCCCCTTACCCAACTCCTGACGTCATCCCTCATCTAGGACCTTCTGTAAGAAAATTTAAGGCACAAATGAGCTGAGGACAGATCCCTGCATAGAAGAGAAGGGATGACCTACGCAGCTCCAGCCATCAGATCAGCACCCCTTCCCCCTGTGTGGCCTCCTCCCCACCCCTACTCTGTCCATGCACTGTAAGGGGAGAGCTGGAGGAGAGAAGGAAGGCCACAGCCCCCTGGGGAACAGGTGGCCTTCTTCTTGGTGGAACTTGAAAGGTGAGAGAAGTACTCCTACTAACTAGTATGGTTAACATGATATCTCTATCCAAGGCAGAAACCCCAAAGTGATGCCCGGGGCAGCAGGATCTCCATTCCTCCTCCCCAGCTCTGCCATCAGATGAACGGCTCTTTTTCTGCAGGGAGTGAGTGTGTGGAGCAGAGAACCAGAAGCCTCATGCTGTTCCTGCTTGAGACAGAGGCCGAGCGGGTCAGGGCTCATCAATCAGAAAGCATCGCTTCCAAGTGAGCGTGCATAGCTCCACAGAGCAGACCTATAAATGCTATGTCCAAGGACATTAGATTAAATCTTTCTACCCCATATTTTGATTTAATAGAAACTCAGCTCAGTGAAATTGAAAAGGTCTAAAGGTTAATTTGATAAGATGGATTACTCCATTAGAAGGTGATACTCCTTCAGGACACATTATATATGTGCACTACTCCTCAATTGGGAAGCAGCAGTGTTGTTACTCTTTTAGCAGCAACAACAGAAACCAAGGAAGTTTTTCTCCCAAGTGGTATTATTTTGTTGCTAGGATATTGTGAAAAGGTACATTGATCGGAAATGGAGAAATTAATTTTAATTAAGATCATTCAGAGATCCAGCCAGAGGCTACCCAGGTTTCATGCTGTTCTGCTCTAATAAAATGGCATTACAAAAAAAAAAAGGCAAATGGGTCAATAAAGTCTGAGCTCCACATTCTGGAAAAAATTATAGCCTCCTAATTATATCAAACTAACAAAGGCTCCATAGCTCTGAAGGCGTATTTCTACCATAGTCTTTCACTTCCATGATTATAGCCCGTATAATGACCTGAGGGCAGGCCAAGGCCTGACTAGAACGTTCTCCGCATTTTGCTAAACGGAAAATAAAGAGTTTGTTTGGGAGCAAAAGCAGACCAGAGATCCCTGAGCCCACTACTGTCCCATCACTATCACATCCCAGAGAGCTGCAGCCGTACAGCCAACCCCTGCCACCATGCCACAACCATCAACACTGAGGCTTGAGGGCCAGCAGTCCCACAGGGTCAAGGTCACCCCAAGGAAGGTCTGGGTAACAGCAGAAAGAATCAGTGTGAGAAATAGATGAGACCTGGGTGCTGGTGGCTTATGCCTGTAATCTTGCTACTCAGGAGGCTGAGATCTGAGGATTGCGATTCAAAGTCAGCCCTAGAAGGAAAGTCCATGAGACTCTTATCTCCAGTTAACCACCAGAAAACTGGAAGTAGTGTTGTGGCTCAAAGTGGTAGAGCACTAGCCCTGAGTGAAAAAGCTCAGGGACAGTGCCCAGGCCCCAAGTTCAAGCACCATGACTGACAAAAAAAAAAAAAAGAAAAGAAGAAAAAAAGAAAAAAAATGTATGAGTTCATCAGCAATGATACTTAGGAAGATGTACTGTTCACAAAGCAGACCATAAAGAAAAGCCCGAGGAAGTGCCCTTCCCACCTGGGTGGGAAGTGTTGAAGGGGAAAAGGGGGTGTGTTATGTGTTATGTGTGCTATGTGGTAGAGCTCTAGTGCTTTTTGTAAAAGCACATAATCATGACAGACTATAAGCACACCCATGGCCTACACTGTCAGAGCTAAGCATCGGAGAGGTGTATGGCAGTTCTGTGAAGTCCTACAAAGTCACAGCAGCATCCATTTTAACAGCCTGTAAAATTAGTATTGGTCGCACACACACCTTCAGAAATGAAGACACTGCCATCTAGTGTTAACTATGATTTGAACCAAGATAATTAGTTTAATGTACTTCAAAATACTACAAATGAAATGTAGTTAAAAGTACAAAATGATGTTTAGTGACTATTTAACATTCACCAGGGGTATAATTATTTTATCTGTTGGGGGGGATTTATATGAAGTTTTTTTTTTTGGACTCAAGGACTCATGCTTGCTCAGCTGGTATTCTACTACCTGAGCCATGCCCCTAGCCCTGCTTTTCTGCTGGCTGTTTTAGAGATGGAGTCTTGTGAACTTTCCTGCCTGGCTTGGCTTCAAATCTTGATCCTTTGGATCTCAGCCTCCGGAGTAACTATGATTACAGGCGTGAGCTACTCCTGCAAAGTGTGTCCTTTTTTTTTTTTTTGGTGAAAGCATATGATTTATTTTGTATTCTCTTAACTTTGAGAGGAAGATTTCTGAAGCACAAACACCTCGTTCCATAAAGATAAAATCCTAGAAGGATGCTCCCAGGGAGGTCATCTATGGCTGACTCACCTTTGCCCCCAATTCACATGATGCATTTGGTGTGCCCACAGTACCAGCTGCACTGACACCAGATGCAAGGGTGGCCGAGGAAGTGCTAGCTAGAAACAAGACCCCCATCAAAGCATCCAACTGTGCCTGTGTGGGCTGAGCTGAAGGCTGGCCAAAGTGTGCTCCCTCCCGCTCTCCCCCTCTCCCCCTCCCTCCCTCCCATGAGGAGTGGAAGCACCCCACAAAGATCTGCAGAATTAACAGATGGCCTGCATGGTGAGCCATGCAAGCTGCACTGGTGAAGAGAAGCTTGGTGGAAAAGATCAGGTACAAGTCCGTCTTTCCCAGGCAATGTGAGCAGGGGCAGAAGAGAAGCAAAGCACAGGGGTGGCAGGTAGACGGGTGTGTCTGGGAAGGGTCTGTCTCATTCTCTTCCTGTCTGTCTGTTTCCTGGGGGCGTGTCTGGGAAGGATCTGTCTCATTCTCTTCCTGTCTGTCTCTGTTTCCTGGGGGCGTGTCTGGGAAGGGTCTGTCTCATTCCCTTCCTGTCTGTCTCTGTTTCCTGGCTGCCAGGAGGTGGGAAGCTGGGCCATGATGTTCTGTCTCACCTGGGACACACAGCTATGGAGCAAGCAGACCACAGACTGGAGCCCTCAGCCAAATAGGTCTTCCCTTCTTTTAAATTGTTCTCAGCTATTTGTCACAAGGATAAAAATAACAACCATCACCAATGAGCATGGCAGTCACAGTAGGAACAGAAATGGCAAAGTAGGGACATAAATGACAAAAGGACCAAGAGAAGGACAAGAGGCAACAAGCGAGGCAGCCTGAGGACTGGAAATACTTCTGGCCGGCTGTGCCAGAACATGTGTTCCCAAGTGTGCACCAAAATATCAGATAAAATGACTGTGCGCAAAACCAGCATGTATGGACTCTCTTCTAGTCCTCATCTACACAGCACACAGTGACAACCACCTCCCCAGCATTTGTGCTGTACTGGGTATTACAAGCAGTGTAGAGATCGGTCAATGACCATATGAAAGAAAGGCTGAAATACTGCCATTTAATAGAGGGGACTTAGGCATCCGTGGATCTTGGCTTCCCAGGGGATCTGGAACCAGTCACCCAGGGAGACCAGGGACAGATGCTCTGTAATGGAGTTAAGGGGGTACAAATTTCCAAGAGACTGATAGTTACAGGTCAAAGGTTTTAGCCAGGCAGAACTGAGAAGAGGCTACCAATGGTATTCAGGTCATTATCACTAGAAAATGAGATCCTATTTTATACTTTTACTTACAATAGTTTAAAAAAGACTTTCCTTACTCAATGATGGCAAGGATATGGCACAACTTTGCTACTGGGTATGTAAAGTCACTGTGGAAAAAAATGTGACCACCGGGTACTGAACCACACATGGGAGTTTCTAAGTCATGCACACAAACTGACATATGCAGAACACAGTAATTTCACTCCCAGGCATCTACTCAGGAGAAATGAATATGTATGTATGCTTCTCACGGCAGCTCTACGTGTCATAACCTCAAGCTACAAACAACACATATCCCTGTCATATAAATGAATAGCCAAATCAGGTTAATTAGCACAGTAGCAAGGCACAGGCACAAATACAGGGAAAAGATCAAGTAAGCATGTTTTGAGAGAAGGCAGGCACACGAGTGTGCTTCCCGTGAGAGAGAGGCCCTGGACTTGGTGACCAGAAGTTGAGAGTTAGCTCTGGAGAGTGACGAATGGAAAGGACTCTCAGTAACTTCCTGATTTGAGCAGTGACTGGGGAGGAGGCTGAGGGTCCTGCAGACTCTACGAGCTTGCTTCTCTACAATCTAAGAGTGAAGGATGGTTCTCATACTTCTCTAAGGTTTCAACAAAACCAAAGACGAACGTGCAGGAGGCGGACCTGGCCCTGGAAGCCTGGGGTCCAGAGAGCTGGCAGAGCCTGATAGGTGGCAGTTATGTGACAGAGAAAGTGAGTGTGCCAGACCTGAGGTGGAAATGGGTCAGGGCTCAGAAGCCGTGGGTATGGAAGAGCCAGAGCTCCCAGAGCTGTGGAAATCAGGTGGGCAGTGATGGGACAGGAACACAGGGAGGACAGCTAAGCGCAGAAGGAGAGTGTCAGGAAATTTACTTCCCTGATCAAGGAGGGGAGCCGTGGAACAGGAAGACCGCCACCGCATGTGCCCGAAGCAGGACCAGGCGGTTGCAGCCGTATGGGGAGGGATTCTGGGAGGTGGGCTTGTAGTGAGGTCAGGGCCATGGTGTGCAGGCTGACTGCGTGCTAGCTGACTGCAGTGGGTGTTTGCAGTGATATCTCCAAGTCACGTTCACATAGAGCACGGCTACTGAATGGAGAGAGACCCTAAACACCAGAAGGCTGGGATATGACGTGAGTCACATTAAATGATGTCTAGTAGGACTCGGTAAAAGTACCCTAAGAAATAAAGGGCAAGCCAAAGTGGGCTTAGAGGACAAAAGGAAGAGAGGCGGCCTGCAGGTCTGAACTGGTAGGGAAGGCATGGCCCAGGGACACAGAACCCAGGGGTGGGAATCCCAGTGCTCCAGGCTCAATCCCTACCGTCATGCTGGAGCCCCAGCCACAGCACAGCCTGCCCCAGCTCAGGAAGCCCTGCTTTACTGCCAAACCCTTTACAGCTCCAAAAAGTCCAATGCAAGCACAAAAGCTAATGGGATGCAGACACAGAGGGGAGACAGTTACCCAAGACACTCACCTGTAAGCATTGATATAATCCTTCCTGTGTTCCAGAAGAAAATCTCTCAGTTTGCCAATGTGAGAAATCTAAAGTTAAAAAAGAAAGCAAAGGTTATGGAGATACATAATATGTTGTACATCTCAGTTAATGGAGAACAGTATGCAGCAGAAAAGATTTTGCAACTATACGTGACAAAAATTTGGTTTTCATTTTTTTGTTTTTGAGGAAGGGTCTCACTAGGTAGCCCAGGCTGGCCTTGGACTCTTCTTGATCCTCCTGTCTCAGCCTCTCAAGTAGCTGGAATTACAGGCAGGTACAACCACATCTGGCTCACTTTAGTTTTTGACTCTCATATAGTCAATCCATGTGTTAACTCTCCTGGGTCCAGAGTTAACAGTTCCTCTACATCTAACTGATATGGTCTATGATTCAGAAACAGATTTATGAAATTAGCATATGCTAGTTGTTTAGTTCACTGTGACATCTCCATACATGCATACATGTATCCTGATCACCCACTGCCCCCCCCGCCGCCCCCGTCCTGCTCCCTCAAATCAATTGCAGCAGGTTTCACCGTTCCATTTTCTTCCTCTTCTGTTTTAGTATCACGGTTCCATTTTCATACATGCGTCTAAAGTACACGAACTCTATCTGTCTCATTTGCCCTCTATTGGTTCTCCTCACTCCCATTAGTACCGAACCCTCCCCCACCAAGCCCAAGAGCAGCCTGTTATACTTTGCTGTCATTTGATTTTGTGTGTGTGTGTGCTGGTCCTGGGGCTTGAACTCAGGGGCTGGGTGCTGTCCTTAAGCTTTTGTGCTCAAGACCAGCACTCTACCACTTGAACCACAGCTCTATTTCCAGCTTTTTTTTGAAATTATTATAAAGGTGACATACAGAGGGTTACAATTTCCCAAGTCAGGTAATGAGTTCCTTCCTTCCTTCCTCCCTCCCTCCTTTTCTCTTTCTCTTTCCTTCCTTCCTTCCTTTCTTTCTTTTTTTTGTCAGTCATGGGGCTTGAACTCTGGGCCTGGGCGCTGTCCCTCAGCTCTTCAGCTCAAGGCGAGCACTCCACCACTTGAGCCACAACTCCACTTCTGGTTTTCTGGTGGTTTACTGGAAATAAGCGTTTCACAGCTTTTCCTGCCTGGGCTGGCTTCGAACTGCAATCCTCAGATCTCAGCCTCCTGAGTAGTTAGGATTATAGGTGTGAGCCACCAGCGCCCAGCATGTGTACATTTCTTTTTGGACAATGTCATCCATTCCTTCACTCTCTTCCTGGCAAAGCCGTCCTTTCCTTTCCTCTCTCCCAGGTTTTCCCTCCTGTTCCTACCCAGGAGTTGTATAGTTCATTTTCAGCACAGTGTCTACTGAGGACCGCTGCTGCATTTGTTTTGCCATTGGTCGCTACATTTCTGTGCATATCTAGCTTTTTTGGTAGTTAAATGGGGATGAGAGTCTCATGGACTTTGCTGCTAGAGGGTAGCTTCCAAGTTTGAGCCTCAGATCTCAGCCTCCTGAGTAGCTAGGATTACAGGCGTGAGCCACCACCGCCTGCCACCATTTGCTTTTTGAAACAGATGACTTCAAGGACTGTAGAGATAACACTGGCCTGGTAATGACACAACATGAATTCCATGAATGCTAATTCCTTTCTTGTGGTCTAAATAGCTGACATTTACAGACAAGTGTTCCTTCTCACGTGTTCCAGAGGGTGGATTTTAAGGCTGACGCTACAGGTTCATCAACACAGCCCTGAGAGCAGAAGTAGAGAAAAGAGCCAGAGAGCCACTGATTCCTACACAACAGATCTCCCTCCTCCCTCATCCTGCCCGCGTGGATGAGCAAAACAGTATCGGTGTGAGCGCTGTTCCTGTGATGGCCCACTGCATCTATTCATGTCACACGTTGAGTGTGAACCTAGAGATTCAAAAATGAACGCAGAAAAAGAGGTAAGAAGAAACCTCAGGACACAGCTGCCAAGGACAGAGTGTTTCAGAAGGCGAGAGTGGCCAGCCAGCGGTGGAGGGCGGCTGTGATCTGCCCAGTGCTCACCGGAGTGTCCCATTCCCCTCCCCCCCGCCAACCCCCGTCCTCCGGACATGCCCACGAGGCCCAGCCTCAGAAAGTCTGCTGATCTTTTATCTTCCATAAAGCTTTTCTGTCCATGCCAAGGCGGCCTAATTTTTCACTTTGCTCTGAAATTGAAGGGAATTCTACCCACCACCTACTTGGGCTTCACCCTGCCTGGCCAGGTGTGCCCCACCTAGCCTCCTCTCCATCAGCGACACTATGAGCCGAGTGCAAGTCTGCAGGGTGTTCCTGGTGTTCTAGGTCCAGGGGGCCCAGAAGGTGATCAGCAAATGTGTGTGGGCAGATCCCGTGTCTAAATACACAACAGTACTTATTATCACAACAGAGAGACATACTGGGCCAGCAAGGTTCAGCTAAGGTTTCCCACAGTGTCTAGGCTACTATTAAGGTTCAGAAAGAGCCCTAAGGCATTTGAAGGCATGAATTAAGACAAAAATAATATGGCAGCCATATTCATTTACTTAGTGGACAAACAATAGTTGAGTCTGGCCGGGGCAGGCACTTCTGATCTTCCCAAGGACCCTGCCTTGGGCGCTGAGGACGGTTCTCACTGTGGAGTTTGGGAAAGTGAACCTCACTGAACCAACTGACTCAGACAGAGCTCAGGCAGAGCTCAGACACGGGCTCAGTCTATGGCCATCTCTGGTGTCGCTACACTGCCTTCCTTGTTCCCTCCTTCCACCTTCCCATGTCCCTCCTTCCTGTTTTCACTCAAGCTGCATCATGAAACCTGACTCTTAAGCCTGTTGGGGAAAAAATAATGTAAGAAGTGTGCAAGCAAGGTTTCACCAAATCGCACGCAAGATACAATCAAGTGATTTAGTTCCACACTTTTCTGGGGGTTGTTTTTAACAGAATGGATCACACCGTCTGCAGCCAGGGGACAATGCAGAGCGAACAGCACCGACCCTCTCTGAAGCTCCGGGACAACGCAGCGCGAACAGCCACACTCTCAGCCCAGCCAGGATGTGGCTCCTGCACTAGCTTCATAGGTCATCAAACAAGTTATTTAAACTCCTTTTTAAAACTATTGGTATTCATCTGGTTCATTCCTTTCTTTTTCTGAAGGCAAGGTGACTTCATTTTTAGATGACTGTATTTTCTTTTGTGTGTGAGCTGGTCTAGGGCCTCGGTGCTGGCCCTGTACTTTTTTGTTCAAGGCTAGTGTTCTAACCACTTGAGCTACGGGTTCACGCTCAGCATTTTGGTGGTTAAGTGGAGATGAGAATCTCATGAACTTTCCTGCCTGGGCTGGATTTGAATCTGGATCCTCAGATCTCAGCCTCCTAAGTAGCTAGGATTTCAGGTCTGGTCTACCAGCATTAGCCTGGCTAATGGCAGTATTTTAATAAGGCTCACTGCTTAAGTCACCGAAGCATTGAAACTCTCTACATAAGACACTGCCATGAAAGCAAATTAGCTATAAAGCAGTAGTGATCTAGTGCCTGTATTAAATGTGTTTGACAGGGAGAAGAAAAGATATACATATTACTTGTCCTTCCATACAGCAATGTTTTACTGTGCAGGAAGGAAAGACCCCTGAGTGAGCCTGTGAGGCCTGGTCCTGGGTGCATCTGCTCTGACACAAGTGCACTGCGGAGCCTAGTCAGGACAAACTGCAAAACCAAGGGTGTCTGAAGGGTCTGCCGTGTACTCCATTCGCGCATGAAGCGCCTGCTCAAAGCAGAGCCCGCAGGCACCAGGAACATGGGAACATGGACAGGTGTCTGGCGGCACGGCTTGGAGACCTCAGGAAATCATAAGGAACTGTCTACTTTGTTTGGCTTGTGGTTTCAGGGCCCTGTTTTGGGGCTGGTGGCAAGGCTGAACATCTCGGTGGTTGGGCATGTCACTCATGGCAGCCAGGAAGCAGAGAGGCAGGAAGGGGCTGGGATAAGGGACAGTCTTCAGACACATGCCTGTGATGGACTTACATGCAGACTCACTGTGCTGGGAGCGTACCAACCCACTGAAGAAGGCTGCATCCACATGACCCCAGCATCTCCCAACAGCGCCCCCAGCGCCTGAGTCTGCAACCAGGAGCCTTCTAAGAGGATGCTTCACACCCAAATTCCACCCCTTTGCTTCCTTGCTACTTTCTTTTCTTTTTTTTTGGTCAGTCGTGAAGCTTGAACTCTAGACCTGGGTGCTGTCGTCAGCTCTTCAGCTCAAGGCTAGCGCTCCACCACTTGAGCCACAGCGCCACTTGCGGTTTTATTGGAGATAAGAGTCTCACAGACTTTGCTGCCTGGGCTGGGTTTGAACCATGATCCTCAGATCTCAGCCTCCTGAGTAGCTAGGACTCTAGGTATGAGCCACCAGCGCCCAGCTTCCCTACTATTTTCTAAATGCCATGTTACAATTAGTAGGCACAGTATTTATAATTAGAAATGCTTTAAAAAGAAAGGCTAAACCCTCCAGGTGCTTCCTGACTAAAACTGTGCACGTATAGCTTCCTCCTGCTTTCTCCTGGCTCACAGCCATCTTCCCCAGGTCCTAATCCTCGGCTTGACTTACTCCTGGCTCCTAGGGATTTCAGGTCTGGCTCCTAAGTGCCTTCTCTGACTCCCAGGCCATATTAAGGGCCCCTTGTAAATGCAAAGTGATGTTACCTATTTGTTTTATATTGTTTACATGTCCATCTAACATAGCCGCACAGGGATACATACCAGCACAAAATAGACATTTATGATTACTTAATGCTCTAAACTGATTTGGTTTCCTATCTCCTTCAAGAAATAACAAGAGGGGGCTAGGAATGTGGTTTAGTGGTAAGAGTTCTTGCCTTGCATGTATGAAGCCCTGGGTTTGATTCCTCAGTACCACATAAACAGAAAAGGCTGGATGTGGTGCTGTGGGTCAAGTGGTAGAGTGCTAGCCTTGAGCAAAAGAAACTCAGGGATAGTGCCCAGGCCCCGAGTCCAAGTACCAGGAATAGCAAAAAAAGAGAAAGAAATAAGAGGAGTCAGGTGCCTACCTACTTAGGAGGCT